TCTCTCAAAGCCTTGCTAATCAGCAACTCTGTTGTCATGTGTTCATGGAAAAGAACTTTGATCCTCAGTATTTACTGTGCACACAGCAGAATCCTGGTCATATAGTCTTATGTATGTAATTTGTGTTGTATATCAGCCAACTCCACCTCTTAAGTAAATTACATTGACCATTCTCACTGATTATGTTTGCAATAGCCAGGGTATGGTATCTATTTTCATAGTTATATAGACACATCACCCATTAAAACAAGATATTCTGGTATTAACGCAGTCGTCACTCCATTTGCAATGTAAATGGCATGTCTTGTGTTTTGGTGCGTTGTACTTTTTTTCTGCACTGGAAAAATTCAAAATGATAACATTTTGAGAGTTTGTATTGCATACTGTCAATAGAATGGTTCTTGGAACAAAGTAGGGGTTTAGATAAACCTCCAAAACTTTGGTCTGATGATGTGTTTTCATAGCGATCACCTGCACCAGGTGGAATGATACTGGTCCCCGCCCTTAGAGAACACAGGATGCAAATGCTCTTGTTGTACATATCAGGTTTTTAGTCACTCTGAGGGAGGAGAGAAAGCTGACAGTGTGCTTCTGCTTGCAGAGACTAAACTACAACCTAAACTGGCTGGGATACGCTAGAGTGGCTTCAAATAAAATTCAATGTCCGGCGGACCACCATAGATTTCACTACAGAGATGCAAATTGCAGAATTGCTTGGAGTGCGCTTTGACATGCAGCTCCTAGGCAAACTGACTCTGTCTTTGGGCACCATGCTATTTGTTTCCCTAATCTTTAGATTCTACAATTCCAGGGCACGAAACAGACGTCAAGGACGTGAAAGAATTCAACAAAAGGGTGCGCAAGCTACCCGAGGAAGCGACTGCAATACTGAGCAAGAACCACAGAGTGAATCGACAAAGGTGTCTGACACGGAAAATCGTTTTCATCCATCTCCAGAGAAAACCTTGCAAGAAAGCCTTAAAGATGTTGCAATGGAAAGGGCTCACCCTGAAATCATGCACAATTGTGCAAAGGAGGGACCTGCAGGTACAAGCAACACAATTGAGGCAAAGAATGTCAAACCGAGGTTAACTTTACAACTTCCTGATCGAAACGAAAACGGTCCTGAAAGTCCAAGTGGTCGGCGATCCCCGTGCCTGGTCAAGAAGCTGGAAGCTGGCACAGGTGTTGGCAGGGAGTTGAGGCAGGACCTTGATCACCAGGGTATGTTCTCGAGTTTTCAGTCAAAAGCAGAAATCAAAGTAGAGAATGCTGACCTTGTCTTGGATGGGCAAGGGAATTGTAGAACAGGCATCCATGGAAAGATCTATGAGTACTACATAGAGTCCTCTTCTCATTTCATCTCAGATTTAAGCCGTGCCCGGTCTGTCAGTCCAGTCTATTGTCAAAATGAACCCAGTAATTTGTTTAAGTCAAAATCATTGGACTCCCCCAATTTCAAGGGCCGTTCCCGATCACCAAGTCCACAACCTTCTAGATTCTTAATGAGAGATCTTGAAATTACTCCACGTTTTACTAACGAGCCAGCCTCAACTTTCAAACCGGACACTGTGAGGTACCGCAGGCAAGTAGTCATCCGCCAAGACAGCTATCTTACTGCTGCCATTGACTCAGAGCTTCCAATCCCCTCACCCACAAAGAGGGCTTTACCACCTCGCAGCAGTTCTCCAGCACAACCCAGTGACATCCCTTCAAGCCTGTTAGACTCTGATATAGCAAACCAGGATGCGCCAGAGGAACCACAAGTCGAAACTGTCGCCGGAGCAAAATTCTTACACTTTCCAGAGAACATGGGGAATGCAGAACTCGAGAGTCTAGCAGGAAGGCTTGATTTAGGCAACTGTTTGGAGACTTTAACACTTGCTAAAAAACACAGTCACATTGCCCTTCAGCAAGCTGCTCTCCGTGTCATGTCTGATAATTACCTCCAGGTCCTCAGAGACCCACGCCTCTTTGGCAGGCTGAAAGCAGGGGAGCGTGATCACATCCAAACACAACGCATGAGAGGAAGGAAGTGGTTAGTAGTGGCAGATATGGAGTCCCCGGACTGGAGTAAATGTCTGTCACAGTCTACAGATTTAGAGTCTGTATCAGTTAAGACATCCAGCGGTATGTATTACTACGATGATTATAAGGACACATGGCATCTTCATTCCCACATTCCCCAGGAGGTGTTATCTAAAGGTTGTGCCATGTGCACCATGGATAATTATCTGTTTATCGCTGTGGGTTTCCAAGGCCTGGGCCGTGAAGCGACCCCTTCAAAGAAAGTGTACTGTTACAATCCAGTGACTTCAATTTGGAGTGAAATATGCCCCATGAATGAGGCAAGGCCTCACTGCAAACTCGTGTCTCTTCAGGGCCATCTTTATGCCATTGGAGGGGAATGCCTATCAACAGTTGAGCGATACGACCCCAGGACCAACCAATGGACCTTTGTTGCGCCCCTTCCTAACGAGACGTTTGCCGTAGCTCACCGGGCCACGGCTTGCAATGATGAACTGTTTGTTGCAGGGGGCACGTTGAGGTACACCCTTTTGCGCTACAATCCCAAAACCAACACATGGCGAGAGAGCATGATTGTGGGTAGTAGGGACAAGACCGCAGAAATCGTGGCTGTGAGGAACTTCTTGTACCGTTTTGACATCAGTCCTCTGGGCATCAGCGTGTATCGTTTCCACGCGGTGGCCCGACTGTGGTACGAATGCTCCTCGATACGTCTTCCCCATTGCACTGCCTTTCAATGTGTTACCATGGACAACATTATCTACTGCGTGAGCCGTCAATTTACCTTGAGGTTTCTTGCAGATGAGGTATCTCCTAGCTTTGTTGCACAGGATTTGAAAGTGCTATCTCCGGCTAAAGGCATTTTGTTTCCAATCATCCTTGTGCTGCCCGACAGGACCACTCAACAAACTTGTGTTTAAGGTCAGACCTTTCGAGTCGGAAGTTGTCTGGTAAGAGCAAACACATCAGGATCATATTTTGCACATGTTAGACGAATGTTCTTATTAGTGGCAATTGAGATGAAATATCAAGGCTATTATGTTGAATTATTGTTCAGCTAGAATTACACAGCACTTACTGATAGATAAATAAATCTGCTATTTGTTTGTTTTGGGCCTCATGTCTAAATCAACCTTTAAATCCTGGAACTGTACTGTGCAAGTGCTTAAAATGTTTCAGTAAATATACCGCTTTTGAAACACTGTGGCTAATTTTAACCAATCAATACTGTGTGTAGAATAAAGCCGAGCTGCAATTGTGGAGATGGTTTCAAAAACAACATGAATGGCTGCCATTACTACAATTTATGTAAGCTGGATAATTATATGGATCGCCTTTTCTTTCTTTTTTGTTTTCTCTGCATATCACATGGGATGTGCATGGGTTAATCTTACATGATACCAGGATATTTTTTTAGATAAAATGTAATGTAAATTATTGGTTGTATTATATTTAGTTTTACTGCAATTTTTCATGACATTTCCACAATTCTTGTAGTCATGAAAATGGGATTTATGGTTCTTTGCAAATCACAGAAACACTTTGGAGAGTCCAGAGGAAAAGCTTATCTTTTTTTTGGTGCGCATACCATTAAACATTATAGGGAGAACTAATGACGTAATGGTTAAGGAAAGAAGAACCTAATGCTTTGCCTCTTCAAGCACATTTCTGTATCTTCTGAAAAACTAGGAATAAAATGATTTCATCTATAATAAGTATTGGTTCTTTTGTTAGACTTCAATAAGTAATGAGTTCTGACAAAATATGCAGCAGGAGGTGTTTGTGTGACCAGGATCTTAATTAAATTTAAATGCAATTATGCTGTCAAAAACAAAGCAATCACATATTCAGTTTATGTTAATGAGGGTATACAATACAATCACCGTGACAATCGAGTATGCATATGTGATCAAAGAAGGTGGCATGCAGAGGAGAGTGTGCTGTGATGCAATTCCCTGTGATGTATCGTTGCTCTCTGTGTAACTCTAGCACCATCATGTGGGGGAGATTTCAAGGTCTGATGGAATCTCAACAGAACTAATATGCCACAAAAGAAGTCGGTGACGGAGACAAACACAAAAAGGCACATAGTTGGAACGTTCCAAATAGCAGAAGAACACAGTGAGATAAAACCTACACAGCAGGAGAAGTGTGAACACAGATGGTTGGACGTCAAATATAGCATCCGATTCCGTGTAATTAAACACTTTGATTCAACATAATTAAACACTTAATGAGATAGGAGTTATGAAAGTCCCCTTAGAGTGTCGATAAATGACTCGACTGTCTAAACTAGCGCTGTGGTCCAAATGAACTGTTGATTCTGCGTGCACATGATAAAGGAGCAGATCGTGTACTGTGGAAAAAAAAGAAAGAATTTTTTGCAGTGTTTTTGTTAACGTGACAAAAGCTGTATTTCTCTCACCCGTGCACAGTGAATTGTTCTAGTGTTCATAAAAATAGACCTGCAAATACACACTAACATAGTAAGCAGAGAAAGAGCAGAAAGAGCGCTATGGTCCGAATGAACTGTTGATTCTGAGTGCACATGATAATGGAGCAGGTCGTGTACTTTGAGAAAAAAAAAAAGAATTTTTTGCCATGTTTTTGTTAACGTGACAAAAGCTGTATTTCTCTCACCCGTGCACAGTGAATTGTACTAGTGTTCATAAAAATAGACCAGCAAATACACACCAACATGTAGTAAGCAGAGAAAGAGCAGTCCATCAAGTCTCAGACCATAACTCAGATGGACATCAGGATCATGTCTTACACTAACTTGCTGCATGCTGTCATTCAAATACACAAATGGGACAAACCAAATACTAAGACACTTGGAAATTCATGTTAATGTTTCTGTACAACTTTTTACTTTAATTGACATGCAAAAAAATGGTAATGCTTCCTTTTACAGTGTAATTACCTAGAAAGTACTGGCTAATATAAGGTAAGTACATGGAACAGGGGTAGGTTTAGGGGTAGTACTAGTTATTACCCAGGAATTTTACTAAATTAAGTACATAGTATTTACATGGGTAACTGGGTAACATGTAAAAGGAAGCATTACCCCAAAAATATAATGTAATATAAAACTAATGCAGTAAATGGGAAAGTCATGGCCTAATGGTTGGAAAGTCTGGTAACCCGAAGGTTGTGGGTTTGATTCTTAATAGTGGCAGGGAATGACTGAGGTGCCCTTGAGCAAGGCGCCTAACCCCCAATTGCTCCCCGGTTGCCACAGCAAACTACTTAAATGCAAAGGATAATACTTGGCCTTCAGATGTCACTTTCACTTAAATTCTAAATGTATTTGGATTGTAACATTTGGACGACATTGCAGTATTGTATCTCTTTTATTTGTTTTGGTTCAAAAATACCAAAATGCTCCTATTCATTTTGTTTTTAAAGAGTCACTGGTCAATAAAATAAGGTAGTCTGGAGGGCTGAGGTTGGTGAGAGACAAAGGGTAAGGGTCACAGCAAGCCGGCTGGATTACTGGAGACCTGTCTGCAGGGTCTGTGTTTCAGTGCCAGGTCCCTGTTGCTGTGGTTGGCAGGGTGTTGGCTGCTGGAGAGCCGCTTGGGCATGCTGACGTGGCGAGAATGACAGAAGGTGCTGATGGGGTGCAGAGGGTATGAAGACTTATACACGCTTAGTGTGGGCACAACTGCCCGCTGTTGTTGCATGCGAGCCCGCCAAGATTCCGCCAGGCCAAACTTAGTTGGAGGGCCTGCATGTGTGTAAGAAACAGGGGGAGCCAGTAAGAAAAAAGAGAGGCATGAAAAAACCAGCCCGTTCTCATCCTTTAACGTCATATAGAACGCTATATGCAAAAACGGCGCTATACTCCGCATATGGCACCCTTTATCGTTAATATAACACGCGAACCCAAGACGTTATAAATCCTTTAGCGTGAATGTGACACGCACACCCTACCCCACACCTAAACTTAGCCCTCACAGCGCGTGTTATATTAACGATAACGTGTGCCATGCGCGTAGTATAGCGCCGTTTTGTCATATAGCGTTCTATATGACGTTAAAGGATGAGAACGCGTTGGAAAAAACACATGTTGTTTCAGTGCCACTAGCGTCACATAACAGTAATAGAAATGACTCAATAAAAATAGCAATGTTGACGAGTTATTATCAATAACTTAAACTACCATTTTCTTTTATTACAAATTGCACTAAACAATTTGTTTGTAAATCTGACTGATCTGATTGCAGCTGTTCCTGAGTCAACAACTCACTGATTCAATAATCCAGTCAAAATGAGCCAAGAAACGGGATATCGGATCAACTGATGGCGAGAAATGTAAGTTACTATTTAGTATTGATTGTTGATTGTTGTAAATGAACTCCAATTTAAATCATGACTGCATATTTGTGCAGTTAAATTATAAGTAACTAAAATTGATATTTTACTATATTGAAGTTTAATGTTTTGATATTGTATCATAAGTTTTGATAATAAACATTTTTTTGATTAATTGTAGATCAATAGCCTACATAGGCCAATGTCTGCATTAATCTTTCTTATTAGTGCAGACTACTGACTAGTGCTGGCTAGTATAAATTAAAACAGTTCATTGATCACTTGGTTTTAAGTGCATTCTAAAGCAAGTAATTTTTACTAGAGTAATATTTTATTAAGGTATCTGTACTTTTACTCAAGTAGCCTACTTGGTTTCTGTTCTTCATCCCCCACTAGACCTACTTTAAAAAAATATGGGAACGCATTATTGTCTCATTAGTAGAAATAGCTATCTACAAATCTCCTTATAAGAAAATTAAGCCATTCAGGTTTGAAACAACATGAGACAAGAGTAAGTAAATGATGGCTGAATTTTATTTTTTTAATTGAAACTATTGATTTAAAATCAATTTATCATGCACATTTGACACTGTTATTTTCTCTCTGCTCAAATAAAAGAAAAAAATAAAATAACTGATATCCACAATGATTTACAGAAGTGGTCTCCAACATTAATTCAAAATGCTGGCCGAACTGCATTAAACCCCATCTGGAGTGAAAGGAATGTTTAATACCTTGGACTGGATGGTCTGACCTCTCCGGGACCCAGGCCAGTTTGTCAGAATGCCAGGAGCGCAGTGTGGGCAGAGAGGAGGAGGCCTGCCGCCCGTACGACTCATCATAGAGTGACACCAGGTAATGGGAGGAGGGGACGTCATGATGAGAAAGTAACAGCCTTGTGGGAACACCCTAAAGCATGGATTAAACCCATGGACATGGTTTATCAGACCCAGTGAATGACAGGATGAATTATCATGTACATCTAACTGCAATGCTTAAAATAGGTATAGCATGTTTAATATAGTCAAGTGAAAGTGAAATTTGCTTTAGCATGCAAAGAAGTGTCTCCCTCCACCACTATTGTTTTTGCAACGTAGTTTAAAAGTGAAATCATTCTTTGTGGTTATGTAATCTCTTCAAGTGACTTATTATTCAGAATCACAATTATTATTCAGACTTTTACAGTGATAGTTCAGAGCTCCAGTATGCAGTGGACTGTTATTTTGGAGTTTCATATCTATGTATGCCTGCTGTCTGTCATCAAAACCGAACATGGTGTGTTTGTGATGTTTGGTAAATGATGCATGAACTGATGGATTTGTCCCAAACCTCAGATCTGTGAAGAGCCTTTCGCCGCATGGCAACATCGGGCCTGTGCAACATGTGGGGCGTGTAGTCCAGCCTGTTGGTGCTGTTTGCTGTCTTGCACTCTCGAGCGAACTGTTTCACCACACACATACGCACTGAAACACTCAGTAAACAAATCCCACGCTCAGCAGAGCTCACGGCCCTTTATTGATCGCAGATGTGCTCTCTCAGGTCTGTTCCTGTCTAGGGGACTGCAGCACGACTTTCATCAATCCCATTTGTCTCCTTCCAGTCTGTGCTGACCAAGCTGATCAGTGGCGCTAATCACTTTTGCATAGATCTGAGCACTGTCTGAGGAACTGCATCCCTTTCAGGGTTTAAACATCCCAGTTTGGCAAGTGCTTAAGTAGTGCGTTAACTACTCGAAACAAGAGTGATTAGAAATTGTCCCTAAATAATCACCACACTGTGAAAAAAATATTGTTGGTTTAACTTAAAAATTTTAAGTTGATTGAACTGGAAAAAGTGAGTTAATACAATGAAGGAGATTAATTTAATCATCAGAAACTCAAAATAATAAGTTAACTCAACTAAATAAATTATTTAAGTTGATTTGACAAAAGAAAAAATGTTGTGATAAGAAATCTTGAAAAAAAATTTAATGTTTTATGTAATATTAAAATAAATCGACAACTTTTAATTAAAGAATGTTGGATTTGAATTGCCTAACTAACTTATTGGTTTCAATTTCAAAACAACTATGTTATTTTTTTTAACTCGGCCAACAGTTTTCATTAGATCCTCACTAATACGTTTAGGCTACATGACAACGATGTACTAAATGATGTACTTTTCACATACAGATGACATTTTCAAACCCCCGTTCACACGGATCCATGACAACGATGCTGTATTATTTGGAAGGCCAATAGGACCAAAATGTGTGAAACTAAACCAACCCGATCACACTAAATGCGTCTTTATAGCACGTGTGTGTATTGCCGTGTAATTCATACGCTAAAGTAAGTTTTTACGTGCATATGATACGCATTGGTTGGTAAGGGTAGGTTTAAGTGTGGGGTTTGGGTAGAATTAGTGGTGTGGGGTTTGTATGTATTATACGCAAATGAACTGTGTATCAAATGCACACAAAAAACTGTCTCATATGCACGTAAAAACTCATTTTCGCCTATACTGTAAATTACACGACAATACACGATGAGTGTTATAGAGACACATTTACGTGAGAACAGGCTGACTAAACACATGATTATGCTTATGTTTTGGCAGTAGACTGAACATGTAACACGCATGAGCATGACGTCCTTGTTCTCAAAAAAATCATGATTCTGTCACTGTAAAATAAATAAATAAATAAATAAATATTTTCATGATTTGTAATCACAACATTTTTTCTTTTGTCAAATCAACTTATATATGAATAGTTCAGATGCAAAAGCCTAAATGTTTGAGTTCAGTATAACAGTAATTTTACTTAAATAACAATTAATAGTTTATCATTGCCATTTAAGTGAAATCACTAAAAATATACAAGTTTGACTCATCATTCAAATGGCATTTAGAGGCTTTTGCATCTGAACTCTTCATATTTTATGTAGTTCAGATAACATAATATTTTGAGTTTCCATGATGAAATTATCTCCTTCGTTGTATTAACTAAATTTTTCCATTTCAATCAACTTAAAATTTTAAGGCAACCAGGTTACTTATTTTTTTAAGTTAAACCAACAATATTTTTTTACAGTAGTTTACACTGAGATGATATCTTTTTCAAAAACTTTAATCGTGGATCCTATTTTTAAAAGTCTGTGTTTTCAGACCCCCAAAACTCCATTGTCATATAAATGAATGACCAAAACACATAAAAAGTTTCCCGTTTTTAGTTGAAGACTGTGTTGTGTAAATGGCCCCTAAATCATTTACATGCAAGTATTTGATAATGTCTCTCAATAGGAAGTTAGGTTCGATATTTGCAGCTCTTTGGGTTTTTAAAGCGACTCTTGGTAAGATATTGCAGAATTTTTAAAGACACCAGTGTTTAGCACATTAGATCACAGCAGCAAAAGATCCACAATATACTGCCGTACACAATTTCTCATTCACAAAGCTGTTTTTCTCAGATACAAGTCACAATATGGAAGAAAATATTATTGCAACTTTCGTTTAAAAATAGTTGGGCCTTTGGTCAAGAACCCCTATGCAATGTTCCTGGATCAGATATAATGTTCGTCAGGCATTTTGAATTTTAATTTGCATGTGCCTCGTTGTATCAAGATGAAACTTAACTCAAATAATAAAATTCCGAATAGCATAGGCTACTAGTTAATGGTTAGACTATAACCATTAAAACAAGTAAAAGTAATGCATTCTAAGATATTTAACAGAATACCCACACAACACAATAATGTTATAAAAAAATATACCTACTTTTAATTTCTCCTCCACCCAATTACCAATGAGTACTTTGTTGCTATACTTCTGCTCTATTCTCCAACCAGGCTGGCTCCACTTTTCATGAGAGTTTTCCATTTTTTTGCATGCAGTTACTTCAAATACAACACTCTGCAAACCTCCAACATGGTTATGTGGTCAGTTCCTTTATGACATCGTCAAAGCAGGAGACATTCTAGAGTTACGTTGCCATGGACACAGCAAACACTACGCTGCCACTATGGGAGCAGCTTCTGCAAAAGAAGTTTCATCAGATTCCTTTAAATGCACCGCGCAAATGCTGACTAACTGAATGATGATAATTAGCTTTACTTGTAGCACCAAAGGAGACTGCAGTCTCATACAAATGAGGCTGTACAAGGGACATGCGGTGTGGGAGGAATTTTAAGTGTGCACATTCTGAAATATCATTCATGATTCAATTGACAAATTGGGCATTGTTTGTATATAACAAAAGCAGTTTAACACTTACATCAATCCAAAATATTGCAAATAAAATACAAAATTCTTTGATGAATCAAATGTGACTGTTTCTTTTTCTTACTAGGTTTAGTCACAGAATATTGCTGGCTGACAATGAATATTTCAAGGAGAAAATTGGTATAGAGCAACCCTTTATCAGCGGCCATTGTTAAGTATTTTTCCTATTCATTGTTTCAATACACTGTAAAAAAAAACAATATTTTCAAGATTTGTTATCACAATTCACAACATATTTTCTTTTGTCAAATCAACTTTAAAATAATTTATTTAGTTGAGATAACTTATTATTTTGAGTTTCTGATGATTAAATTAATCTCCTTCATTGTATTAACTCACTTTTTCCAGTTCAATCAACTTAAAATTTTAAGGCAACCAGGTTAGTTACTTTATCAAGTTAAACCATCAATATTTTTTTACAATATTGTTTTTTTTTTTTTACAATATTGTCAATATAGTTTTTTTTTTTTTTTTTAATCCCTATAGGGATTTTAAAAACTAATCAACCAAACCAACCATACGAGATGAATCACAATACAAACTTTGTTTGACATGGAGAAAAAACAACACAAGACAAAGGTAAGATTGTGTAATTAATGAATTTAATGATGAGAACTACAATCAAATGAACGAGACTGTTCAATTACATAACCTGACTATTGTGTTAAATTGTTAAAGTGTATTTTTGCTCATTCAGTTTTATTTAACAGGCCATATTATAAATCATTCTGACAAATCTTTTGACTCAGAGAGTCTTTACATATCTTACAATGCTGTCCATAGCCCTTTGAGAGGATTCAAATGTCAACCAGCCTTGGTTGAAGAAGCTGATGATCCCATGGAAGCCATCAGATAGATGCTCCCACTTGACATCCACTCCTACATCCTTCAGTCGCTTCTGGAACAGAACGCCATCGTCTCTCAGCACATCAAACTCACAGGTCAGGGTGAAGGTGGGTGGACTGAGGCGAAGAACATCGTCCTCGACTAGTAAAGGGGAGATCTCTGGATCTAGGCCCTGTTTGACGATGTGATAGACGTCAGCATCGTGGCTTGCAATAACTGGCGGACTTGTGGCTCCCTTTCTAAACTGTGGTGGAAGATTATCTGGATCCAGCCATTTCTTATAGTGACGTTTTAGCTCGGCAGGAACATGCTTGCCTTCCAGAATCTGCTGGCTCACAGAAGTATTCCCGTTGAGGTACTGCAGGAAAAAGAACACCGTTCGGGCTCTGAACAATATGGGCACTGAGTGGTTCTGCTGGTATGAGGGCAGGTGGAAATCTGCCATCTGCAGAGCCGGGTAGATGAGAACCTGGGCGCAGGGAGATGGCAGATGACCATCCTGTGTTTTCGACAGCCTCTGGCAGAGAGCGGCTGCCAGGTTCCCCCCAGCACTGTCCCCACCAACTGCCACCCTGCGTGGGTCCACCCCGAAATCGGTTGCCGCTATTGACAGGAAGTGGCGAGTCACGACCTCACAGTCGTCCAAGTGGGCAGGGTACCTGTGCTCGGGGGCCAGACGGTAACTAAATATGGGAAACGGAGAAGAAAAATGACAGAATAAGATTGGGAAATTCAACCAGACAGAATTTTATATTTAAAAAAAAAAACTATGTCAAGTCAGCTAACCCAACAGACACAACTGTGGTGTCACTCTCCAGTGATATATACTGACACACTTCATCGTAATCATCTGTGGAAGGACAAAGTATTAAAACATCAGTTCTTAAAACATCATCACAACAGTATTTTACTGTCTATGCATGCAAGTGAGATTTACCAATACAGCCGAACATCCATCCGCCACCATGAAAGTAAACCAGGCCCCTTTTTTTCTCTCCCGATGCAGCTGTAGGCTCATACACCCTCACTGGAACTCCACTGAAGGTCAAGTCCTTAATACGAAGCCCTTGGGGCACTGGCCCTTTTCTGGCCATGATAAAAAATCTGCACCATCGTGTAAAATTCATCTGATGACATAGCCCCAATCGCTCCAGAATTTGGCCCTAAAAAAAAGAGATTCGTTGACAATGATTGGCCAATTCATAAAATTCATGTTATTAAATGAGCCTCTCAGGGGGTAAAGAAGTAAACTTTTACATTTATTCACTTAGCTGACGCTTTCATCCAAAGCGACTTACAATTGCTATATGTATGCCAGGGTTCGCATGCCTCTGGAGTAATTTAAGTGTCTTGCTCAGGGACACATTTGTGTCTCACAGTGGATTCAAACCTGGGTCTCTCACACCAAAGACCTGTGTCTTATCCACTGTGCCATCACCACCCCCAAAACTTGGCCTTTTGAATGAGGTAAACATGTTCTGAGATAAGCAGAATGGCTCTATTTTGCCCTTGAGAGAATATCAAGTTAGTAATTACAGAAAAGCATTAATTTCCTATATGGCCAGTTTTAAGACATTCCTAAAGAGTAAATAAATAACTTAGATGGACATTGTATTGAGCACTTAAATTTGACTAAAAAAGGCTTTGTGCTAAAATATTCAGTATAAAAAACAGAATCCGAGTATATTCTACACAATTGTTAGTCCTTATTTAGAAAGAATTAAGAATTTAAGAAGAAATGGGCTAACATGATTAGAGTCAGCGAATGCAACACAAACAGCATGAACACTCACCACAATGTTTATCCCAACATACGTACAATGAATCACACGTAGTTTCCCAGGATTAGCAACTCCTGGAGGAATATTTGTATTTCTCAACTCAAAGTATACTAAGACAACTACCAACAAACCAAAAACAGCAAAAAGAGCTGCAAACACAATGATCAGAATTGCAATTGCAGAGTACATGGCTACTTGAAAATGCTGCAAACAAAGAAATAAATGTTCACAATACATGTTCCCTCCCACTTTTATTGCATAATGATAGAGAGCGAAGGTTGCCAAGTCTACAGGCTTCACACAGTATGGGTCAAGTGTTGATTTTTCCCAGAAGTTTGAAAAAACTTCTGCAGAAATAAGTTAACTATGAGTGACTGTCCTATATTAAGTGGATGGCTACTTCAAAAAAAGTGTCTTTAAATTAAAGTATAGCATAATGGCACTGTAGGCCTACACATTTACTACCCTAACAAATAGGCCCAACCAGTTTATAAATAAAAGGCAATCTAAGCTAAAGATCCTAACAAAGCCTTATCCCCAAAATTTCAGTTGATAACACATTAGCAAGTAATATCAAAAAACGAATGAGAAAATATGCTGGCTGATTGTTTACAGAGATAATTGATGGTGGCATGGATTTAGAGAGGACAAAACACTGCATCATTGGAAAATAACTTAGTTCATTTAATCATATTACTACACTGTAAAAAATATGTGTAAGATTTGTTATCACAACACATTTTCTTTTGTCAAATCAACTTTATAATAATTTATTTAGTTGAGATAACTTATTATTTTGAGTTTCTCACTTCATTGTATTTACTCACTTTTTCCAGTTCAATCAACTTAAAATTTTAAGGCAACCCAGGTTACTTGTTTTTTTAAGTTAAACCAACAATATTTTTTTACAGTGTAGTAATCACAACATTTTTTCTTTTGTCAAATCAACTTAAATAATTTATTTAGTTCAGATAACATATAATTTTGAGTTTCTGATGGTTAAATTAATTGTATTAACTAACTTTTTCCAGTTCAATGAACTTAAAATTTTAAGGCAACCAGGTTGCTAACTTTTTTAAGTTAAACCATCAATATTTTTTTACAGTTTGCATATATGCAAATAAACATTATTGATAAAACTATTTTCCTTGACAGGCAATGTTAGTACTATGGCTCCCACTGAGAATAAATGTGATTTATTTAGTGAACTTTCACTATTGATCTGTAGATGGCAGTGACACTCTAACTGAAAAGAAAAAGCCTTTGTGTTTAGCATCACCGTGCTGTTATATTTCCACAACAAAATGTGGAAGATGAAATAAAGGCTCATAATCACTTAAAAAAACAGAGGATAATAGTTTTACAGTATTCTGCGATACAGTAAATCAAATCAGCATCTGTGATTGTGGCCTGTGTTTGATCAACAGATCCAGAAATGGACCAATTTAAGTGGAACATGCTTTTCCCCCCATCAGACAACCATTAAGCCTTCTCTGAGAGTTGCTGGGCCATTACTAAGAGGCACATCATAGCACAAAGCAGTCTTTGTGAGGGTGCATTTCAACCAGTCCGGTCTGAGCAGCCCTCTATTCAGTTTTTAAGCAGTAGAAGCAGAGGCCAGGCCAAAAATCACAGTCTGGAATCTCCACAACGGCTCCTGGGTTTACTGTGAATTTAAGAGCCGTTTACAAAGGTCTCAATGTTCTGGAGGTGCTCTGGTCTGCAGGAATCCTTCCAGTTGCACTGTGGACTGAAACCAGCAACAGGAGACCCAAGTGTGACAACATTTAGGGCAAACAGTACCAAACACCTGTTCACATTATCATACACACATCGCATCGAAGTTGTGGACTTTGCAACCCCAGGAGTTTGAATTGCGAAAGAAGAAATAAGGAACAAATAATATTTATTTTACAATTATCCAACCTTTACAAACGTTGCCAACGGTTTTATCTCACGGCAATTGACCAAAAAAGGGCCATCATTAGGCTATACAATAAAGTAGCTTGACAGTATCAATGCCATAAAAAAATACTACCTAAATATAATAGCTTAACTAAAATAAAAATAAATGACAATATTAAGATTCCAAAAACAACAATAATGCATAGTTTAGTTTTAACCTTTTTTTTTTTTTTTTTTTTTTTTTTTTTTTTTTTAAACATTACAAACAATATCCGCCTATGTTTACCACCATGCGGTTAAGGTAAGAAATGCATCGCGTTTAAATCATGTAGGCTGAAATATATTTTTGTTCACAAACATGTCTTGACAAACCGGTTATTTTTTTTTTCCTCGACAGTTCAACAAGTCCTCTGTCGTGTTGACACTTGTGTTTGCTGGCGGCGTTTTAAATTGGAAAAAGTGTCAATTTCGGTCACAAGAGATAAATCATTTTAAAAACTATAGTCAACCCTGTGATTACAATCACATATGCCAGTATAACAATACAAAACGATAAAAATAGCATTAATTATCGCGTTTCGATATGTTTGAATGAATCTTTCATGTCAATGAAACTGAACGAACCGAACTAGATCATCGTGTGCTGACCGATTGAACGATTCGTTCGTCCAGTTCGCTAAGTTTACGTCGGTAGAAGAAGAGAATACATTCTAACGTAATTAAAATGACGTTAATTATTCATTATTTATTGAATGTCATGCCCAGTAACTGATAAAATAGAGGAAAATTAGCCTACTGGCTTGAGCAGAAGTAGGCCACGCAAAGTTATTATATTTCACGAAATTATACGTTTCGTTGTTTTATTTATTTATTTTAATCTAATTAAATAAAGTGAATGATAAATGCCATTTTAGTGAATCGATTCAAACTGTCTGAATCACTGGAATTAATCTAAATCCCCACGACTAGTAACAAGCAGGTTAAGAGGCAACGAAATTGTGCCCGTAAGTGGTACCACTTCTGGGGGAGGGGATTTAACGTCATAAAGAAACGAACCCTCACGTCACCAACGTTTGATAATACTTCTCTCAGTCCTCCAGTTGTCAATCAAGATAAATGGTCTCTTTAAAACCCCTATCAGACCTGAGGTATCGTCATTGTCGGGTCCTGGCCGCTGTCAGTCGCGACAGGGCTCCGTCTCCGGTTCAAAGCAGCAGCGCACACTTGTCGCAGCAAGAAAACAGCTTCGTGGATAAAGAGTTTATGTGGAATAAAGGTGCGCGAAATGACAGATATTCCGCCGAGGAACACATAAACTGAGTTGGATTGTGGTAAATAGATGCATTGCAATCTATTTTGTGTGCGTCAGCGCTACAAAACAAGGCAAATTGCCTTATCCACTCATATAGGAGTAAGTTAAAGGTAATCGCTCCGAGCAAGGATTCAATTAGTTCAGCAAATGTTCCATGCGAGAACTGAGATAAGGAGATACTGAGACGAAGTGAAATGGATCTGAAGGCGCTGGGCTGTGTGGTGATCTTACCTATCCAGATACTCTACTATATTGTCAAGGCGACCGTGTGCTGGGTCTTACCGAGGAGGCGGAGAGATCTGACCGGAGATGTGGTGCTTATCACGGGTGGCGGACGGGGCATTGGCCGTCACCTGGCGAAGGAGTTCGCCGTGCGTGGAGCTAAAAAGGTAACGTACTTGGTCATATTGCGGTATTTGGGTAATATTTCTATTTAACGCTTTTTATAAATAGTGCCAATGTTAGTAGTAAGCCCATAGTTTCAATAGGTGGTCTGACTCTTTCTGACAGTATGACTGATCATTCGCATCATACATAGGTATTTGGCATATGGAACAATTATTAAAACAACTAGGCCTACTATCATTATAAACACATTATTTAGCCATTTATACTTAATGAAGTTACTTTCAAGAAATCTTAATTGTCATTTAGTATAAATAAGTCAAATAAAATAAAAGTTTAATCTTAGTGATGGAAGCTACGTTGCACTTCCCTGAATTTTAATTATACTGATGAAGAATATCAATTAAAAAATTAAGTAATGGAAACAAAGTAGTTTCAACAACGATGAAAACAATTGTATAGTGTAGCTTTATTGTAATAATCATAACTGTAGAAACTATGTTTTTATACTGTGTTTAAGTAAGTGGGCTAACTGTGGTTGTCATGGTATTAACACTAGCATAGTGGATGAGGGTTTTTGTTTCGAAAATTAGCACTGGGCTACTCCTCTCCCTAGAGACATTATAATGTCCTCTTCATAAACCCATTGTCTTAACAGTGCATAGGTCATGACCCCTACGGTCAACAGACCAATCGAAATGTAGAGCTGGATCCCAATGTCTGGTTCAACTTGTACAACAAACTGGGTCAACTAACAAACAGCTATTTTGGGGAAAAACAGCCTTCTTTCAAACTTTGACAGCTCTCATGTTTAAATTATTACACTGGTCTTGGTGGAGACCCCTCTACAGATGCCAGTGACCCAAGAAATTCATGGTGCCAGCAAACTTTGACCTTGGCTAAATGCTTGAAAGATTAGACGTCTGACTTTTCTTATGATTTTTTCTATCTGCAGTATTTAATGGCTTTATTGAATATCTCACATTGGCAGTAGTGTTGGCTAATGTTTGTGTCTCAGCAGTAAGACTGCAAATAAGAGTGATGTGTGCTGAAAGTCAAGAGCTGGGAAGAAATGTCTCAGCTGCCTCACCCACACAAGACATTGCATTATAAATAGACCCAGTGGCCCAACTGTAATAAACAGAGCTTAATAACTTCTGTAACCACAGTGACAGGGGTCCCAATGCTTGTGGCATTACACCCAAGGCTTTGATTTAAACACCCCCACCCCAGACAAGCTTGTGTGTATGAGGCTAACTAAAAACCCATTGTAAAAGTCACAGTGCAAACCTCACACGGCAAACAGACTTCAGATCCCTAAATGCTCGCTGACACAAGTCACCTTTTACATCATCACAGGGCAAAGGTCTTTGAATGAAGCAGCTTTGCAGCAGTATGCTAAAGGAAGCCACCGTGCTTGTCAACACCCCGTTGTTAGCCATTGTCAAGGTGTAAAGACTCTGGAAAAGACACCTGCAGTGGCAATCTTCACAGTTACCCCATTCTTGGAATGCTAAAAAGGCATGAATCATAAATACACAGGATAGGATTTAACTTGACCACCCTTGCCTCTAAGTGGGGATTTTAATTTTCCAGAAAGCAGGCCGTTATTATGGCGTCCAAGAGGTCAGCAAGTCCTTACTGCATGGTAATTCAACACTAGAAATATTCTGCAAAAGTT